TTTTTGATACAGCTCTTGCTCAATATTCAAAGAATCCATTACTGTTATGGTTGTAATATGTATTAATATTAAATATTAATTATTTTTTTGTTCTTTTGTTAATTTTGTTCGATAGATATTGGTTATGAATCGTGCTGATTAGTTTTTGGTAAAGATCGGCCGGGCCGTTTTCTTGTAATAAAGTTTAAAGAAAAAATCGACGATTTTTATGATTTTTTTTTTGACGGTAGATATTATAGTCTTGCAGATCATACTAAAATATTACGGACCTACGACAAGTCATTTAATTTTAAAATTTCTTCAAAGTTTGCAAAAATTAGTATTCTTTTGGCATTTGTCAAAATTAGACCTTTGATCGACGTTTTCTCAATAACGCCTGAACCGTTTTCAGAAATTTAAAAGCTTTTGGAGAATACTCCGAGTTAAGGTGTTCGTTCGTTTTCAATTATATATAAGAAATCCACTCGGAATACTTTTAATTACTTATAAATTAATTTATATTTTATTGATTAAGTCGATTATTTACACATATCGGGAAGTTTATGTAACTTGCATCAAGGCAAAATACCAATAGCAACTAGTTAAATCATAAATTTTCATAAACACAGTAAAAAAAAAATTGTTAATGGAAGATTATCTAATAATTAAATTTAAGAAAGTGGTATATGTTTTAAATTTTTATTAAAAAAAATATGTTTTTTAATTTCCATTTATTCTAATGTTGAAAATATTCACCAATATTTCATGTTTGATTTTCAAGAAAAATTAAGTTTTACGTATTATTTGCTATTTTTATATAATTACAAGTAAATTATAATTATGCTTTCAGAACAATACTTTACTTTTCTACCTTTTGCATAATTTTATAATTTAAAGCCATAAAATATAAATTAGTCGAAGTTGGTTCGTTTGTGATAAAATTTATTAAAAATTGCTTTAGCCAGTAGTAAAATAGCGTGTAAATGACTATTAACGTGTATCAAACAAAATTAGATAAATTAAAGATTGAGTACCACGATGAGGCCCCATCGGAAGACTTTGCCACGGGCCCCGGAGGGTCTAGTTACGCCACTGTGGAGCGGAACGTATTTGAGAACAAATGAAATCTAACATTATTAACATCGTATCATTTGAAGCACCATACATTTGGTAAATAAATTTCTCTAACGTTATAAATATTGTTTCAATTTCTATGTCATCATCCGTTATAATTCTATCAAATGCCAACTGGTATTCTTGAGAAGTTTCTAATAACCTAAAAGGCCTAATTTTGTCTTTTTTGAAAAATGCTGGCGTGTAATCACATCCGGTGATTGCGTGAAAACATGGTAAAGCTTTAGATAATGAATCACCAAGGATTTGGCATACCTGATTAACATTTAAGTAACGCTGGTGATTGCCCACACCCATATTAATCCAAATTTTCAAAGACAACTTTAAATGATTCATATTTTCTAGAAGTATGATTAAAATATCAGAATCCGAACAGCGTACGACAACGTTTGCATCAAAATCGATTTGACTAATGTGATAAATAATCCTAAAATCGGCTTCTTCGTGTTCTTCACATGACAATGATTTTTCAATTGTCTTAATTACTCTATTATTCCAAACTTTACCTGAATAACATTTATCAAAACTTGTGTAAATAATTTTATTGCCAATGAAAGGAACCATATTTTCACTATCCCAGTGATTAATGAAAAAGCTAACTAGTGCTTCATTAAATGGTATATTTTTTAGTTCTGCTATAATATTATGAGGTCGAATTTGGTTAGGTCCAATTGATATTGGCCTATTAGCTTCTTCTCATCTTGAACATTCACGGATGATAAAAATATTGGTCAAAGATAATGTCTATGCGAACAGACTTTATCTGACAAATACAACTCAGAAACTTCTTGGAGATGCCGTCATAGGTTTGTGGTACATCTTTCACGAGATGCAACTGAAAAAAAACATCAACTTGACAAACATCAAACGATGACGGTGGTTGATCTGTAGTGTTGATTAGTTTTTTCTCAATAACTTTTAATATTTGAGATTTGTCGGTTTTATAAATAGAACCATCTGCATGGCACATCGAAGTTGTCATGGGGGTGAGTGGGAATGTTAATACTTTCTCAATATTTACCTTGTGGGTAAGGGAGATCCCCAACATTCTGCCGAATAAATCTCTTTGCTTCCGCAGTTCTAGAATTTTACTACCAACAATCAACTTATTTTTCTTTGGTATATCAGTAAAATTAAATATTTTATTTTTCTTTATTGGCTTATCAAATCTACTCTCATTTTTTCTGCTTTCAGTTATAAATTGATTCTTCAAACTCTCACCTTTATTTTCAACGTTCAATAAAAAATTAGCAATGATAGGCGAAGCAGACTTTGATGTAGCTATTTTTAAATGCTTGTCTTTATCTATTTCTGGATTAGAGGGATTGCAATTTTTGCTAAGAATTGTAATGACATCATGAACTTGTTTTTCATAGATTATAATTCGATTTGGCTGCAATTCCGCCGTTACATCTGGAGAGTACCTTAAGCCACATATATCCAAGACATTAGATATCAACGCTGCTCTTATGCTGTGGCTTTTAGCCCAGCGTTGACGTGCTGGTATAGAATTAGTAAAATGTGCAATGCCAGTCAGTCGTTTAGCAGCATCAGCATTTATTGTTTGTTCCAATGTGAGATCAATTGGTATTCGTAAAAATGGTTTATCGGTTCTTTTGACTCCAAAAAATATGTTTTTGAAATCGTTTTCTAGGCCGGGGCGGGTGTTACTGACATTATTTAAATTATCAGAATATTTTACACAATATCGAGCGTAGTTAGGTTGATTGAAAATAAAAAATAAATTTTCGGAATCACGAACTTAAACATTTCAAAGTCACCCATACGTATGCTTCTTGAAAGATTAATATAGTAACTAATTAGCTGAATATAAATCATGTAGAATTGTGCTGTTTTTCCATGGATACCTTGTCTGGTTTTCGCTACGTAACTTTTGTAAGAATTCAACACTTGTGATAAAACTTCATTTGGTTGATGATTGTAATGAAATTTTAGTCTTCTGATAATCTAGAAGATCTTCATAAATTTGTCCTCTTACTCGTAATCGTCATCTTTATTTTTCAAAAATTGATCAAAATGTCGCGCTTGAAACTGACTCACTCTGTCTACTAGTATCATATTGCCAAACATTTTTGATTGCCAGACATGGTTAACAACCGCAGAAACGTCTGGCAAATTAATTTTATGTGTTTTTACCCTTAACGAACATAATATTAAAATTTCAGACATACTACAATGATTTGAATTAAAAAAAAAATTAATTGCCGTCTGGCACATACTTAGCAGCGCCCAAAATGTTTGGCAACAAAAAATATGAGTCTGATGAACCTATTCGAAGTCAAAAAATGAAAATTGGACTGTATAAAATGCTATAAACTAGTATCATATTGCCAGACATTTTTTATTGCCAGACATGGTTAACAACCGCAGAAACGTCTGGCAAATTAATTTCATATGCTTTTACCTTTAACCTTTTATCTTTAACGAACATAATATTAAAATTTCAGACGGACTAAAATGATTTATATTTTTAAAAAAATGAATAAATTAATTGCCGTCTGGCACATATTTAGCAGCGCCGAAAATGTCTGGCAACAAAAAATATGAGTCTGGCGAACCTATTCGAAGTCAAAAAATGAAAATTGGACTGACTAAAATGCTATAAACTAGTATCATATTGCCAGACATTTTTGATTGCCAGACATGATTAACAACCGCAGAAACGTCTGGCAAATTAATTTTATGTGTTTGTACCCTTAACGAACACAACATTAAAATTTCAGACGGACTAAAATGATTTGAATCTAAAAAAAAAAAAAAAAAAAATTGGCGCCTGGCACATATTTAGCAGCGCCGAAAATGTCTGGCAACAAAAAATGTGAGTCTGTTGAACCTTTTCGAAGTCAAAAAAATGAAAATTGGACTGACTAAAATGCTTTCAAAATTTTGAAATCGCGCTGTACAAGTTGGCTGCGCACTAATTAACGCAACCACTTCAGAGAGCACCAAGCACCACATACCAAAAAAACAGCCTGACTAAAATGCTTTCTCGAAATCGTTGCTACCTTCCGTACTATATATGGCGGACTGGGTCCGACAACGGAATGGAAAGGAAAGTTGTTGCTTCCTTCAAATCATATGGATGATTACATAGCTACATCATCTATATGCTATCCTACGGACTCATTGAGTGACGTAATAATTAATTATCGCTTATTTATTATAAACACATACTGTAAATTTATAAGTGCTTATTAAATTGGGCTACGAGCGTATTCTCCAAACAATTTATGTATATGTTTGCAAGAAATTTGTTCATTTTTTTTTAATTTAATTTTTTTGATAAATAAAAAAAACGATTCAAATCGGTTCAATGTTGTTCCGAAAATTGTCGACGCAAATTTGAATCCGCACACACAAACACATACACACAAATACACAGACACACACATACATCAATTTTCTTTAAGGTATGCTAAAATGTTCAGAAACTTTTGAAACGTGAAGATATATAAACATTTTTATTTTCGCTTTTTTGTGATTACTATAACTTACCCAAGGAGAAGTTAAAAAAAAATCGTTTTAAACCACTTTACAACTAAAAGTAAAAACGTGGCTCACTTCTTTCCAAAGCACCCTACCAAAAGGTGTTTGTTTTGAATAACTTGAGATTTACGTCAATAGATAAGTCTTTTTTGTGACATGGTGCGGCATAGTTTTTTTGGTAGAGTATAATTTTTATTATTTATTTAAATGTCAAAGACACGCGTGTCTGATAAAATCCTGATGAAATAAACTTTTTTTAGGAACTTAAATAAAATCATTTATACTCTCGTATGTAGTATATATTATACTGAAGTGTATGCAAATAACTATAATCAATGTCATATAATTAATAATGTAATTATTTGAAATTATTGTTACAGTATTCGGCCTACGCCATTGATAAATCCAAATGATTTACGTGATCGCATTGAGCACGGAGTAAATGCTTTAAAGGATATGTTGATTGCTCATGAAATTACAATGGATGGAGAGTTTCGACTTAAAGAAAGAATGACACCAAACAACAGGTATGTATTTTTATTCAATTAGGAAACGAGCGTATTCTACAAACAATTTTTGTTCAAACATGTAAACGTATTATATGCATAAACAAAACCTAATCGAACCGAGATAAAATCGAAAAAAAAGCTAATGATTCTTTTACACCGTTTTTTTGAATCATTCTAATCGTATGATCGGTTCTCTCAAAATCTGCATGACCATTTATTGAACCCTTTGCGCTACCTGCGAAATGGCTAAAAGCCTTTTGTAAAAAATAAACAATCAGCCCGAAACGAATGTTTTTCCTTATTTCAAGTCGGTTGAATCATACTGTCGAAATTGTCGTGAGCATTGTCTTAGAACCGTATAAGGGAACATCAAAAATTAAATTAGTTGAAAGTGGCATTTTGCTTTAATGCAACTTGTAAAAACTTTCCGATATATGTAATAATTGACTTAATCAACCGAAAGTTAGTTTTAGATATTTAGATCAATTTTTCAAATGTTCATTACGAAAATAAAGTTTTCTTTCTCACTGAAATATAAACATAACTATTTTGAATTAATATTTTTCTAAGACATTTGAATTCTCTGTAAATATTAACTGCCCGTAGGGTAAGTTATAGTAATCGCAAAAAAATCGAAAATGAAAATTTTTATATATCTTTACGTTTTAAAGGTTTCTGAATATTTTGGCATTCTGAATATATTAGAAAAAACTGATGTATGTGTGTGTGTGCGTGTGTGTATGTGTGTGCGGATACAAATTTTCGTCGACGATATCGGGAACACCGATCAACCGATTTGAATAATTCAAAAAACATTCGATTCGTATTGATAAGGAGACGTGCTGATTAGTTTTTGGCGAAGGCAGGTCTAGCTGTTCCGAAGATACGGGGCAAAAGTGCCAAAAATGGTAACTCAGTTTTTAAGAGAACGCAGCGTCCGATTTTAAAAATTCAAAAAACATTTCACTTGTATTGACAAGATGAAGAACTGATCAAATTTTCATGAAGGTCCAGCGATTTCGGAGATCTAGTAAAAAAGTAAAAAAAAATGCCATTTGGCGGTCAAAAATGATCATTAGACATATGCACATCAAATTATTAGATATTTTATAGAGATTTTAACAATAAGTATAAATTTTGTTTACATTTCTATGAGTTCCGTACCAATGTTTATCCATAGGACGGCGACGCGGCGCTTACGCGCTTCGATATTTCGTCTCTATGCAGTTGAAGCAGTACGATTGTTTTGAAAAAAAAGTACAGAATTTCCAAAATATTTCAAAAGAAATTTTTCTTCAAAAAGTCTTTTTTTTTCAAAAAAAGTAAATTTTTGTCAAAAATTTATAGTTTCTCAAAAATTTATAGTTTCTCAAAAATCTATTTTTTCAGAGTAAATTTTTTTCAAAAATGTTAATCTTTTTAAAAAAAAAAATTTTTGGTACGGGAACTTCCAGCAATTTGCCTTAAGGTACGATGCCATGCGCCCCACTTGTTTTAATTGCATTGCGTAGACACCTGGTAGTATATTCTACAATTGTGAAATATTAAGCATCTGGTATAAGAAAATATTGACACGATTACATATATGATGTACGTAGTCCTTAATATTGTTTAATAATTTAGATTAATAGTAACATTTTTAGACAACTAGTGAAGTTTTGTAGACTGCTCACTTTTTTTTGCTAATTCCAAAGTCATTTCTTTTAACCTAATTGCGTTCTTTCCTTTTCGAGTTTATTCTAATGGCTTTTACATTTGCGAAATTCTAACTTCTTACTTACTAAAGCGATTTTTGACACAAATTTTGACTATGATATTTGTTCAAACTTTGACGTATCTTTAAATTTAAACTACTTGTCGTAGGGCCGTATTATTTTAGTATGTTCTTTAGGATCATGATATCAATCAATATAAAAATGATCGAAAAATATTTTTTCAATAGTTAATTACGAAGAAAGTGCTCTGTCGATCTTTGTCCAAAACTAATCGGCACGATTCCAAATAATATCTTTCGAATAGTTTTTAAATTTTCAAAATCGATTCGGAATTTTTGGCCAGAATGGGGATGAAATTTTTTACACTTTTCAACTAACTACAAAGAAACGGCTCGGCTGAAGTGCAACGCTTATCGAGTTTCATCGAGTGGCTATTAAATTATTGAAATCGGTCTAGTTATTTTTGCGGAAACGTCGACGGAAGGTCAAAAATCGGCTCACATGCACACAGATACTTTTTCCAAAATTGGTCTCTTTTTTACTCAGAATGGCAGAAATGAAATTAATACTCAGATTATTAAAATTTATATAAAATATTTGATATTTTGCACGAAGAAACGGCTCGGCTGATTGCCGTGCAACGCTTATCGAGTTGCATCGAATGGCTTTTAAATTTTTGAAATCGGTCTAGTTATTTTTGATGGAAACGTCGAAGAAAGGTCCAAAATTGGTCTCTTTTTTGATTCAGAATGGCAGAAACGAGATTAATATTCAGATTATTAATATTTATAGAATATCTGATGATTTGAATTGCATAAGCGCAATGATCAGCTTTGACCGCCATTTTTTTAAATTTTGCGTAGGGTAAGTTATAGTAATCATCCAAAAATCAAAAATACAAATTTTTGCATATCTCGTTTCAGAGGCTTCTGTAACTTTTTAGCATACCTTAAAAATGGTTGTGCGTGTATTTGTATGAATAAAATTTTTGGTACATGGGTACGGTACGGGAAGTTCCAGCAATTTTCCTTAAGGCACTATACCATGCACCAGGCACTTTATTTTTTGGATATTTGAAACCGAAAGACACCTTTTCAAAAATTTAGTCAATTCTTCCGTTTTTAAGGCGTGAAAAAAATATGTAATATGCGCATTAATCTGGTGTCCACTTAAGGTTAATATTACAATGATTATAAAAATATTTAAAACGAATTCTTATAAACTCTTATAATAAAAAGATTTCAGAAAAAATCTTAACAAGACGGGCACCTTAGAATAATAATTACTTTATTTCGCAACTAAATCTACTTAAGCATAGTAATCTAAGTAGTCTTAAGCATAGTAATATAAGTAATTAAGTAAGTATTTTTTGTAATTCACTAAACTCATGTCACTAATTAAATTAAAAAGTTCGAATTGTTTCGTCCCATTTTTTATACACCTCACTTAGTTTTTTCATTCACATGATATTGTGCTCAATGTCTATTGGTAAAACACAAACTTTAGCGAGAGATATTTTGAGTTGTTATTTTTAGCCTTCACTGTCACTAATATGCGCTCCTTTTTGTACTGTCCTGGATGTACCTCGACAATGCCCAAAGTCATGCCGAAGAAGTGCCATACCTCTGACCCTTAATAATTGCTTTGCAAAGGATGGCCAACGCGTGCAATTTGATAGAATTTGCAATTGCGCAATATATGTTCTTCGTTAGCCATTCCAATAATTAATAATATAGGTACCCTAGTAGAAATACATGTGAGCTGGAGATGTTTTTATTGCAAGCTAACTATTTAAACGTGTAGCCCATGTTAAAAATGTTGAGCCCACGTTCACAACGTGCGATTAATATGAGCTGAATATGAGACGATACATATTAGATTTACATGAATTTTCCATATTGCTAAATGTGGGATGAATATGAGCAATATATGATATGTTTTACGTATGATTTTTCCATATTGCTGAATGTGGGCGATATATGAAACGTGTTATATGAGTTTTACTAGGTTTATTCATATTGCTAAATATAAGCTGTGTATGAGAGAACTAATATTGTAGGATTTAGAATATAAAATTATTCACATACAAATCATTTAAGATTTTTCTAATAAAGAACGAATGTGGAATATGTTTTTTCTCATATTGCTCTCTCTCTCTCTCTCTCTCTCTATATTATATATATATATATATATATATATATATATATATATATATATCTTATATATAAAATTCTTCTGTAAGTTTATATGAATGGTTAATCCTCCTAAACTATAATTCGGATTTTCATGAATCTTCTTGAAGTTTGTTCGGGAAATTTTCTAGAATTTTTAGATTCGGAAAACGTAAATAATTACAAAAAAGTGCTTATCATTGTTTGACCTTGAAAATATTTAACGCAAAGTTTGACATTTAAAACAAATGAAGACTGTTTGCCAAATATTTTTATTTTTTATAGGCTAAGGCAATATTAAAATATAATATATTTATGAGTATGAATAAGAAAAATATAATGTCTACATTATTATTGCCGAAAAGTAGCTGAGATGTGCCAGAAATTAAAATAATATTAGATGCAAATAATATAACATGCGCCTGACAGCCTGCGCATGCGTCTGACGCGCACGGCGAATCGTGTTCTCAACGTACGCGTGGTTTGCTTTTGCTTGCAATAATTGTGTTTGCGCACTTTGCGAACAGATTCGCCGTTCGAATTCGTGCAAAGGAGACGATCCATAAGAGATTGCGCTCAAAAATATTCAATTTGCAGCCGTTTTGTCTTACTATACTAAGTCACAATACAAAAAAAATTATTTAGAAGTTTCATTGTATCAAAAATTCATATGTTTGTCATTGGGTACGGAATATTTACTCAATGGAGCATTTTCGGTCTGAACTTTTTTTACTGTTTTCCAATTAGTTTGGAATTTTGGAATTAAGTTCATCTTACTCTTCAGAAGTGAAAACAATATAGACTCCTTTGCCACTTCTCGGGTGGATGACATTTCTTTTCAGTGGTGTAATTTTACTTGTTTCAAAATAACGTTAGGTATCGATAAAAGAACTAATTATAAGAGAAAAATGTTTAATGATGTTTTTCAAAAAAGTAAATACTTTTCAAATTACTGGCTACTGAAAATTTGTTTCTTTTTTGTGTTTTACATCATTTTTTGCTAATATCTTTAAAAATATACATTTTGACGAAAATCATGTAATGAACAAAATTATATTAATTAAAATCTTAATAAATCGCTATTTTATAGTGTTTTAGGAACATTATTAGGCTAGATATGAAAATAGGTTTT